AGAATAAAGAAATCTCAATAATAAAATAAGACAAATTAGCCAATTTAAAAAAATGAGCAAAGGATTGGAATAAATATTTCTCCAAAAAATATACAAATGGTCAGTAAGTGCATGAAAGGATGTTCAACATCATTAGAAAAATGAAACATCAAAACCATAATGAGAGGCTGGGGATAGCTCAGTGGTGGAGCACTCACCTAGCACATGTGAGGCCCTGCATTCAATCCTTAGCACCACATAAAAATAAATAAATAAAATAAAGGTATTGAGTCCAACTACAACTAAAAAATGAATATTAAAAAAAAACATAAGGAAATACTGCTTCACCCCTCCTACAATGACAAAAATCAAAAAGGAAATAATAAACATTGGCTGGGCTATGGAGAAATTGAGGCCTTCGTGCATTGCTGGAGGGAACATAAAATGGTACAGTCACTTGGTAAAATAGTTCTCAGGTGACCCAGCAATTTTATACTGTAGGTAATACACAAGAGAAATAAAGACACAGGTCCACACAAAAATTTGCCTACAAATGTGAAAAGCAACATTATTCACATAGCCAAAAGGGAAACAACCCAAATGTCAATTAACTGAGGAATGAATTTTAAAATATGATACATCTAATACAAAAAAATACAATCTATCAATAAAATAATGGGGATGAATTTTGAAGACACAATGTTTAACAAAAAAAGATAGTCACAAAAGACCACAATTGTATGATTCTACTATAATAAAATTCATAATAGGCAAATATATAGAAACATAAAATACATTAGTTGTTGCCTAGGGCTGGGGCTGGGTAGTGGGAATGGAGGGTGACAGGTAGGAGGTTTCTTTTTTAGGTAATGGAAGTGTTCTAAAATTAGATTGTAGCAATCATTACATATCTCTAACTTTACTAAAATACACTGAATTGTACACTTAAAACAGGAAAGTATACCATACAGTATACAGACGACATCCCAACAGAACCATTTAACAAAAAAGACACTATGGCTTTCGCCTTGCTTTTTCCCTCCTGGATAGCTTGTTCTGGGAGAAACTAGCTGCCATATCATAAGGACACTCAAGCCACCCAATGGAGAGGCCCATGTGACAAGGAGCTGAAACAGCCTGCAAAAACATGTGAGTGAGCCCTCTTAGAAGGGAACAACCAGCCCCAGACAAATCTTCAGTTGAAGGCAGTCCTGGTCAACATCGTGATTACCACCTCATGAGTGTCGCTGAGTCAGAACCACCAAGCTACGGAACTCTCAAATTCATGACCCAAAGAAATCATGTTGCTTTAAACCTTTAGGATTTACAGTAATTCATTATAACCCAATAGACAACCCTCCTGTCAACCCTCTCCTGAGTGTTAAGGCTGTGTCTCCTAATGACAAGCAACTAAGGAAATGTCTTCCCAGCAACATTCTCTCTTCAGAGAGTTTAGTTTGCCCCATCCATGTTACTACAGTTGCTATCACCTTAGCAGAACATGATCCCTTCCCCTGACCTTAGTTCAATGAACCAAATGTGGACACCTAACCAAAGCCAAGACAATACTGTCCTTCCCTGACATTTTTATAAGCTTAGAAAAGGACCAGTGTCTTTCTAGCACCTAAAAATTTAAGATGTAAAACTTGGGAACTGTCAGCAGCATCTTTCCATGTGGGAGAAGCTGGACTGCAAAGGAGAAGGACAAAACTATCACATATACAAAAGCAGAGATTCAAGAGACGACAGACAATCTACACCTCTGCTTCCATCAATGCCTGATGCAGCTGATGTCCTTCTAGTAGAGAGACCACATATGTCTTATAACTCTAGTATCTAAAACAGCATCCAGAACGTAAGCAATAAAATACTTACTGCATAAATGAGTAAGATAACCCAACCCTCTGATTGTTTAAAAGTCTCAATTGCTCTTTGGCAACTTTATACTGTACACATCCCACTATTATTATACTATGACAAAGGGCAGAACGTTTTCTTAGTCATTTTTGGTACTGATACTATCTAGGCTAAAAGACAGAAAGTGCTCAAGAAATTGCCATTTAACTCAATCCTATACTCTGCATTCTTTAGCTTTTATTGTCACTATCATCATTTATCTGCCACCTAACATCTGCAAGGCACTGGGAATATAATATACTATTATATGTGTTCCTTATTTTCATCCATTTGATGAATTCATTCAACAAATATGAGTAACTACTATATGCCAGGGGCTACAAATATGAGTAACTACTATATGCCAGGGGCTACAAATAGATCAAAGACATGGTATCTTACCCATGGATCTTATAGTCTAATGCATATAAGTAAATAAATTATTATAAGGATCACTTATGCTCTGTTAGAGAAAAAGAAATACAGAAAAAGATAACAGCCAGGCAATGTGGCACAGGCTAATCAAATGAGTGATTTTCTTTCCAGTATACACAGAGTTAATATGGACACCTTACAATAAGATATTGTTGTGCAGTGATTCCTGGGTTTCCATTCAACCAACATTTCCTGAGTGCCCACTTATTATAAGTTAAGCAAAGTGCTTAGCATTTTTCCAACTATGTCTCATTCAATCCTCTCATTTTGTAGATGAAAGAAGTGAGTCTGAAATAAATGAAGCGACTTGTCCAAGTCTACACAGCTAGTAAGTGGCAGAACTGGGAATCATTATGTCTTCCAATTCCATGCCCAGGTGTGCTATGCTATTTAATCTACATAACTGCAGCAATTCCCATGTCTTTACACTGACTTTTATTGATTTTTAATTCACCCTAAAGCACACAGGGCAGTGTCTTGCACAAAAAGGGCAATCATCAACAACCGACCTGATATGACTATGCACTTGTTCACAATTTGAGAAGGGACCACATCAGATCAAATTACATTGGTGACTATTATAGCATCCTGCGCTAAAATGAGCACAGTTGGCTCAAGATGAGTGACTCTTTCAAGTTTTATTTTAACAGTGGTTTTGACCACTATGTCCGGTCAGTTGTTCCAGTGTTCAGCAATAAATCAAAATGACTGCTCATTTCCTTTGACAGTTAACAACACTAATGAATTCAGTATAACCTCATCAACCAGCAGAAAAAATTTCTAAAATGCAAACTTGATGATGATTCACACAGTTAGTGGAGAAAGGGAAATAAAGCAGTACTCATTGTTTTCTACAAAACTAGCATTGTTTGCAAAATCCAGAAATTGAGCAGTTGGTTGACTACTAATAACAAGCAAGTTGCTCCTTGGACAGTCATAGAGCAAAAGCTCCTTGTTGCATCATGGTCAATGGATGAGGAGCACATGACTTCAAGTATTTTTTGCTGTACGGTATGATTCTGTGCATATAAAGCAGTGAATCATTATGTAAGATAAGGAAAAAATCACACAGAAAGTTCTAGACACTGAGCCTGGTGCAAAGCAGATATTAACACCAAACATATATATATTAAGTAAATGATCTAATAGCCCTTTGAAAACATCAGTGGTCCATAAAATCAAAAGAGAAAAACCAAGCCAACAGAAACTACAAAGATTATGTTAGGAACTCAAAAATATTATAGAGTGACTGGTTCAAGATATATAACAGATTGACAATGTCCAAAACCACAATGTTTAAAAATGTTGAATTAGGAAAGCATGAAATTGATCCAGGCCCAGTGGCCACACCTGTAATCCCAGCAAGTCAGGAGGCTAAGGCAGGAAAATCATGAGTTCAAAGCCAGCCTCAGCAACAGTCAGGCACTAAGCAACTCAGTTGAGACCGTGTCTCTAAACAAAATACAAAATAGGGCTGAGGATGTGGCATGTGGCATAGTGGTTCAGTGCCCCTGAGTGGTAACCAGAAGAAGGAGGAGGAGGAGGAGGAGGAAGAGGAGAAAGAAGCAAGCAAGCATTAATTTGACATCTCTTATGTTAAGTGACCACAAGGGCATCCAATGGAATACTAATCAGCAATATCATCAGAAATAACAATAACTGTGTAACAGAGCCACCTTTATGATCTGTTCAAAACAGAAATAAAGTGTACTAGGTGTACCCCCTGAAAACTGCCATTTAAGCTTTGTGTCTACATAATAAAAGAATATTTCAATATGAAAAGAAGCAGTGACAAAAAATCCTAAATGCTCACAATATGTAATAATAAAGACCACAGATTTTTTTTGTTAAAATGTATTATCTGTTCAGAAATGAAAACGTATCTCCAATAGGAGATTGAGCTCTACAAACACAATTGTACCCAAACTGTACTGATTGGTCCAGATAAGCATTTTCCAAAATCATAAACCTGGACTTACACAATGAAAAAGTAATTTAAGTATAAGACTCAGAACAACTCTAGTGATCACAAACATTAGAATGTGGGATCAAAGCCTGCTCCTTAGTCCCTTTCACCCAGAGCTTTACAGAGCCTGCATCTCAAGAGACCTTTGAAAGAAACTCAAGGCCAAGTATAGTATTTCACGACAATTGCAAATAAAAGCACTCAATCCCAGGAGCCGGCGAAGCCTCTTTATCTCCCCAGTCTAGACTGGCTAAAGCGGAGACACCCCCTGGGTTTCAGTGTCACAGGACCGCAGTTCTCACGGGACGGTTCCTAACCCCCAGCCGGGACCACCTCAAGGGGCGTGGAGAAGTGAGTCACGCTCCAAACCCAGGCGCAGCTCACCTCGCGCAGAGGAAAGCGCACCTTTCGTCCTAGACAGGATGCAGTGACAGATGTGTCACCTGAGCGGGAAAGGGGGCGCGAAAGCATCCTCGGAGACCAGTGCCGCAGGCAGCGGTCCACAGCCTCCAGGGCCCCGCCGCCCCGCGTCTGCCGCCGCCTCCCGGGCTCGGGAAAACTTTCGGCCGCCTCCCCAGGGCGCGCGCCCACCTCCCGGGACCTCCCGAGACCCCCGGCTCCCGCCCCGCCAGCGAGTCCCGCCCCCGGCCCGCACGGCCCCCCGCCAGTCCCCCGGGGCGCGACCCCGCGCAGGGCCCGGCCAGCAGAGGGCGGGGTCGCTTACCGGTCCGCAGCTCGTGCTTGACAGTTAGGAGCTGCTCGCCGCTGTCGCCGCCGCCGTCCCCGCTGGTGCCCGCGGCGACGCCGCCGCTGCCGCCCTCCTCCATCTTCTCCCTTTTTCCGATCCCGCGGGTCGCTCTGAGGGGAACCCGGGAGACAGCGGACGCCCGTCCCCGCACAGCCCTTGCTGCAGCCCCAGGAGCCGGGGTGCCGCGGCTCCACAACTCGGACGCGAAGACGAGTCTCTTTCCCGCTCTGGCCGCACGGCTGGCTCCTCCGCCTCCTCCCCCTACGGCGGGCACCGCTAGTACCGCGCAACCAAGCCGCCCCCTGCTCCACCGCCTCCTCCTCCAGGCCGCTCCGCCCACAGCCAACAAGGTAGAGGAGCCATTCGAGCTGTCACCGCTCATTGGGCGCAAGGCGCGCGCGTCTGCCAGCGCCGGCTTCCATTGGGCATCCTGCTCTGACGTTTCACTAGACGCCCCGCCCCGCTCCTCGAATTGTTGTTGCTTGGCGGGGAGGCAGGAGAGGGAGAAGCGCGGCCACTCGGATTGGTGAGACCCTAGATTCTGCCCCGCCCACTGCCTGTGGTGCGCACGCGCAGTCAACACCTTCCCTTCCCTGACCTCCTAGAACAGTCACACCCCTTATTCCCCAGCTTCGATCTGTTAGTAAACAGTGTCTAGTAGTCAGGAGGCGCTCGGGGTCTGTGATTGGCTACTGCTGAAAGAGGCGGGGAGGGATGATTGGAGCTTATGGTCCGCCAATCACCGTGGACAGAGGAGGGACCTGAAGAGAATCGCTTGTCACCCACGTGTTTGCAGACAAACCAGAGGGTCCCAGGCTGCGATCCGCAGGTGTGTGACTGCCTGGACGAATGCGTATACAAAGGTGTTTCTCGTTCTAGTGAACCCTAAACAAGTTAAGCAAATTTTATACTTAAATGCAAGTGGTTCTTGGTACAAAAATTTACAGTCCAGTTCCCTCTGAGAAATTTTGAAAAAAAATTTTTTATAATTTTATCGGACCCTTCCCGGACGCCAAAAGGACACAGAGATTAATAAAATAGAGTTCAATTCCTTTCCCTAAGCAGCTTTCAATAGAACGTGAGAAACCGACAATCTGCGTATATACACAGGAAACCATAAAGCAGAATTTGAAATAAAACAATCGTACAGTCCAAAACGTTACAGAATCGCACAGATGGCAGTAATTATTCTCAGAGGAGGGGCTGGGAAAGACTTTTAGGGCAAGTTGGTGTTTAAGATAACCAACTGCCAGCAGCAGACGTTTCACACAGAAAGGGTAACTGTGAGCCTAGGCCTGAAGTAGAGAAAGCAAGAGTAGGTGAAGTGATTGATAAGGCTAGATGGAAGTAGGATGTAAGAGAAACAGCTGGAAAGATAAGGCAATGGAGAATCCTCAGTTCTATGCCAAACTGCAGGTTTTGTTTAGTACACAATGGGAAACCTCAAATAGCAGTTATAATATCAACACTGTTCTCATGAGACCTAGCTTTGATTATAGTGAAATGGATTGTCTTAAGGAAAGAGGAGAGAGATCGCAGAGAAAGGATACTGTTGCGAGGTTAGAATTAAAAGGGGCCTTAGGGAAGGGAGGGGGCATGAGGTTAGAAATGATGGTGGAATGTGGTGGATATTATTATCCAAAGTACATACTTTGTATACAACCAGAGATATGAAAAATTGTGCTCTATATGTGTAATAAGAATTGTAATGCATTCTGCTGTCATATACAAATTTTAAAAATTAATTTAAAAATGGGTGCCTAATTTCTGATAGTAGACATGAGAATTGAAAAAGGAGAGGCATAAAGACGTATACTTGAACATAATTCACATAAAAGTCACCTTTTAAACTTAAGTGTGGATTAGATCGGAAGCCAGCACATCTTTTGTTAAGGGCCAGACAGCAAATATTTTAAACTCTGTGGGTCATATGTCTTCATTCATAACTGCTTGATTCTGCCTTGTAGCTGGAAAGCCATATGCATGTTTACTAAATAAACGTACTATTAATTAGTAATAAACATATTATTAATAAACTAATAAACCTATGGCTGTGTTTCAATAAGACTTTTTTTATGGACATTGAAATTTGAACTTCATGTAATTGTCCCATGTCTTTTAATTCATTTTTAACCACTTAAAAATTTTAAAATCATAACTTAGCTCATGTGCCATTAAAAAAAAATAAAACAGGCAATGGGGCCTATAGGCCATAGTTGGCAGACTCCTACAGAAGATTGCCAGGGAAAAGAAAGCAGAGAGATCTTGGGCTCCTCAGATTGTGTCACAGCTCCCTGAGTTGACTTTCCTGGGACATTTACCACATCACACTTCATACACCATGACTGTCTACTTGTGCTATTTGGAGCCAGGCAATGACTGTGTGCAATTGTTCATTTATTTGCTCACTCAACCACTTTACGCCAATCATATGCCAAATACTGCGATAGGTGTTAGGGACACAATGAGAGGAAAACAGACTCAGTTTTTATACTTATAAAGCCCGCAATCTAAGGACAGAAATACATATTAAATAATCACATGAAGAAAAGTGAATTTTCCATTATGACCATGCCATAAAGGAAAACTATAACATACTACAAAGACTATATCAGTAATGCCTAATTTAGGATTGGGGTTACTGGAAAACCTTAATAAGGAAGTATTATTTCAGCTGAGTCTTTAAAGATGTGAGGATTAACCAGGATGTGGCACAGAGGGGCCTGAGTTCTCACCGATCTCATTTCCTCTTCCTGCACAGACAGGAAGACCCTCCGCTTTATTTTTTCCCCCTTTTTCTATTTTGCCTACTTTTTCAGTTGGGTTATGATCATATGACCCTGTTCTGTCCAGTGGGTTGTGGGCAGACATGAGGTATGCCATTTTCAGGTGGAGCCAGAAAACTCCATGCGTGATCACCCACACTCTCTTCTATTTACACAGCAACCAAAAAGTCCACATTTTGGGTTTGAGGGTGCCACAGTTTAGAAGAACCCTAAACTCCTGAGTTTCCACTTGAAGAAGAACCACCTGACCTGCTTCAGACTGTGGGACCTGAGTCTTTTCAGGTATAAACTTTGAGATGTTAGGATGGTTTGCTACCAAAGCATCCTCTAGCCTACACCGATGATTTCACGGATGAATTGTTAAGGGAAGGGAAGATTTTAGGGAGATGTCTTGACACAGGCAAAGAGCATTTTGCATTTGAGAGATTTAAAGAAAGCCAATGGAGCCTTAATACAGTGAGCAAGGGATAAGATGAGACAGATAGGTGGAGATCAATACTTGAGTGTATGGTTAGTCTTATTAATATGTGTGGAAAGCGATGGAAGGCATTTAAACAGGGGAGTAACATAATTGGAGTAGTATTTCCAAAAGGTCACTGTGGTGAGTATGTGATGACTGAACAGGAGCAGCAAGAGATGATACCGGGAGACCAGTTAGGAGACCATCCATGTAGTCTGGGAAAAAGATGAACGTGGTTGCAGTACAGAGAGAGAAAAACAGAAACAGAACTTCTGAGTATATATTTTGGACTTCATGAAAGATTGCATTTGATGGGTGATGAGAAAAAAAGGTGTCAGAAATGATACCAGAGTTTCTAGCATGAGTGACTAGGAGAATGGAGGAAGATAATAGAACAATTTCGTGAGAAGGGCAGATTAAAGGAAGAGCATCCAGAGTGATATCAGGAGTTTAATTTGAGACATCCATGACCAATATTAATTATATAGAGGTCTGCATCTGGACCTCTGAAGAAAGACCTAGGATAGAGATATAAATTCAGGAATCCACTTTCATGTAGATGGCATTTGAGACCAGAGTTATGAAGGAGATTACCTGGGGAGAAACTGAAGCAGGAAGAGAAGAAGAGCCCGGGACTGAAGCCCAAAGAATTTCAACATTGAGAAATTGGAATGAGAAGGTGGAGCCTGAGATGAAGCAGAAAAGCTTGGAGATTTTTTTTTCCCCCCAATTTTCAGAAGCCAAAGTTTTGAAGGAAGTAGGGAGTGGTCAGTTGTGTCAAATGTCCTGAGAGGTCATTTTAGATAGGGTCTAGAAAGATCTGACAGATTTGCCAACATGGTGCCCTGGGTGATAGGTGTGTGTAGACATCTTTGTTTCAAGAAGTTTGCCTAGAAGGAAAGTTAAGAAGGTCCTGGCTGGAGGGATCCAGGAAGTTTCCTGGTTTTGCTATTTTTATTTTGCTTTTCATTTTCAAGTAGTTTTAAAATTACAGAAGAGTCACAAAACTTAATAAGCATAGTAAAGCAGATAAAAAAAAAAGCCCTGTGAGCACCAAGTGTGCACATATATAGGAGGAATTTCTTCACAGATGCAAGCATTGTGCTGAGCAATAGGGAGATGGAAAGAGATTGGAAGGTAGTGGAAACAGTTTGGAATAGCCACTGGGGAAATAAGTACAGTGAGCCAGCTTGGATAATTGCTACTACCTCTGGGGGCTCAAGTGAAGTTAGAAAGCGGAATCAGGATTGGTAAATGCCTTTCTCTAGCAATTTAGGTTTTCCCCTGGGGGCTGGAGATTAGCAGCTGGGCAACCACCTGGTTGAAACGAATGACCCTGAGGCCCAAGTGGGCTGAGCAGGCATTTAATCTAAAAGGAAAGGCTAGCCTGGGGGAAGAGATGGAGGCCAGAAGCTGGAGCCAGCAGAGCTAAGTTTCCAACTTCAGCTGCACAATGGAATTCCCACCTGGCCTGTGAAAGAGGGGGGGGTGAGGGCAGAGAGAAGGAAAAAAGGGAAAGGGAAAGTGTAATTTAATTAACCTGGGGTGGGGTGTAGACTTTGTTTTTTTTTTTTTTTTTAAGCTTCCAAATGAGTGTAAGGGACAGCCAAGCTTACAATGCCCAACTCTGTTGTACAGCCATTAGAGCAGTGGATGGTAAATAAGAGCCAGTTGGAATTTTGAAAAACCAGCAACCTATCAGAGGCAGCGACAGTGCTAGATAAGGTAAGAAAGAAAAATTATAGACCTGAGACCAAAACACCCAAATAAAATAGATGGGTGGCGATTTAGCCAACGAGTGGTGTGAGGGGATGTGTGGCATCAAGGGAGGAAAATGATGGGGGATCAGACAGTGAACCAAGGTTTGGATGTCACAACTGGAACTGAGGAAGTCATCACTTCCCCCCAGCCCTGAGCGATGGACAAGTAGAGGCAACAAGCCTGGGGAAAGGAGGTTGTCCAGGGGAAAACCAGGTTTCTGGTAAGACTGAGGAGAGTAACAGAGGAAAAGAAAAAAAACCTGAAAATATGTTTGTTCCTCTCAGAAACTGACTTCCTCTA